CGATTGTTGTTTGTCAAGGAGGAGATTTAGTGTATTTCAGTTTTCAAAGTTGCGGCATTATAAGATAGTTGGGTGTAAAATAAGTGATTAAAACATTGTCATGGTAAATACATAGTTTCAATTTTACGTAATGTTTCTCTAATCGACCCTAAGGAGTATAAATTAAAAGTTGCCAACACTTACTTTCCATCGCATAGGACTCCTTATTGCCCAGACCCCGTTCGTACTGGCAAACGTCACAATAACACTTCGGTGAGATCCCGCTGGTCTCGTTATTTTCACAATTTTCTTGACAACGCGATAGATCTTCTAATCGTCTGTGGTTGTACAAATCTGAACTTCCAAATGTTGCCAACAGTGTGTTTCTTATCTGGCTCTCCCGTGCTTGTCGTCCATTTACAGAGGCTAATGCGGTACAAGCACTGACCAAGAACAGCAGTAATATATAACAGACCATCATCGCAATATGATTTTTGTTGCTTCGTGCTTTGCCTTGTGAAGTGCCTCATGTAACAATTGCAGAATTTACTGAGTACCAAATGAATAAAGATTCAGCGACTGGCAGTGACCCAAATTTGATAATTTAACGGATCATGCATGAATGATGCAATGGTGCGTGACCTGACCAGAAGATTGAAAAAGTACATTTAGAGGTAGCAATGTTTTAAACGGATCCTTAACGACTGCGTGTGTACTGACGTGTACCAATACTCGATACGACAACTGTGCAATATTATCTGTTTATTCAAGATTGGTGATGGTAAGGAGAGATCGACTCCGATAGTTATATCCCCGATAAACATGCATTTATCATGGTAAACAAATATTGTTTATGGGCAATATTTGACATAATCACCTGATCAAATCCAATACCAGTGAAATCAAAAAATCTCGTGGTATATTGCTGCATCATGATCCACCCCATACCAAAACATGCACTTTAGTATTTAAGTACAGTTAAGCAAATACAACAGCGGTAAACTTGAAAGGGTGGTCTATTTGACATCTGACAATTTATCTGACCTGAATCTGATCCGGCAGACCTAACCCGACCTAATTAATCAAAGTTCAGGAATTGTGATAATGAATGCAATGCTATATTGTATATTACATTGCAATAGATCGTCGCCCCATTGTTCGTTCTTTATCCGAATGCCCTGTTTGCTATTAGGGCAAGAACGAGCCGGTGCTCAATAATGACCATATTATGTAAACAACAATGAATTCCCGCACCGACAAATTGAATGACTAGAAGTGGTCTATGGTGAAACAATGAGAACCGAACCGAACACATTATCGCAGCTAGGCCCTTCTCCGAATATATTATGCCGCTTTGGGAGATTCGTTATTGGTGTTATATTAATCACCATCAGAATTAAACAAATTAAATTTAGTTACATTTCTTTGTTTTTCTTAAAATAAATTTACACCATAAGACACCTACATTGCATATGAGAGTTGTTTTACACATGTGCCAGTGTGTGCTGTGCCAAACATTCACAAGAATTGAACACAACAACCAATTTACATTAAACGCAAATTTCCGCCGAGATCTCGTTCAAAGCGACAGAACCACGAGACTTGTTTTTGTGCTGCGCTACTCGTGTTCTATTTTCTCCCGCGAAACACATCCACTGAGCTATGTAACCTTTACCTCGACATTAGTTTCACCACCTGTATGATGTAAATTGTACCGCTGCATTACCGCTGGATGGAACACGCAACTGTCGAAAAAAATGAATATACGGGCTTTGAGAAAAAAAGAAATATACAGAATGAGTAGCGCATCGTAGTCGCCTATGTTAATTTTAGTTTCCTATAGAAACTCAATGCAAACGATATGCGAGCACTTGCACATAAGTCACTTTTCACGTAACAGCGAGCAGTATTTCTTAACCTGAAAGAATAATGGTAGATTTGTTGTTTGAACGATCCATACAAATGTAAGGAAACTTTGAATGTTGATGACTCACACAATCTTGTTAGTATGTTTGCTCTGTTATCGTCTGATAACAGGGCTGTGCGTGCTACCGGTCGACAAATGAGAATATGGCGTTGTTAATAACAGTCAGCGTTCGTGATGTATGTGATAACAGAGTGGGGAGGATTACGACCATTTGCCCTCATTTTCAATAGTGATTCCTCGCACTTGTTTTCCTAACCACTGGCATATTAAAGAATCGTTCTTACTTGAATATGACCACAAGTGTGAGGTTGTAGATTTCAATATGAATACAAATGACTGGTTTGAAACGAGAAAACAGTGAACGTTATTTTCGTGAATCTAACGTACGGCCTAAACAATAGGCCAATCCACACAAGTGTAGTAGTGACTCGGTGATGCAAGACGTTTACGGAAGATGGTATGAGCCGAAGAGGCAAGGCCATATATTGGAATTGTTTGGTTTGGCAAATTAGTGTATGGAAACTATTTTAAGTTACATTAGCCGGAGTATGCGCATGCGTCTATACACACGGCACAGTAATGGCAGAGAATTTGAGTCGGAGAGCTCTTCGGACCATTCAATGTTCCATTTTTAACACTGTAAACTGTAAAAACGTATTTTTTTCCCTTGTAAATTGTAAAAAGCCCTTTTTATTTCCCGTAAAACTGTACCAGCTACCCCCCCTTGCCTCCCTCTATTATGGTTTGTCTGTGTTTATTTCTAGTTTTAACCAAATCCAATCCAAAAATGTTTCGGCGATCTCGGCAGAGCACTTGTGAGTTATTCAGGTAGTTTGAATCAATGGATGGTTTGCGAACTTCGTCTCGTTATAATTGTAAGATGATCAATAATTGTTGCTTTGTCTTTTCTTCAAATACAGTTTCAATTAAGATCTTTTCATTGAAGCTACATTTTTCAACATCAATGCCAAGATTTTGACCAAGATTATGTCGAGGAGGAACTATGTTGTATCAATCAACTTAATATAAACAGTTACTCAAATCTAATAAGGTTTATGTTATCAAAGCCAATCTGGCAAATTAATACTTAGGTGTGTCAGGTGTTACACATGTGTTACAAGAAAGATCAGGCCCCTACATATACATGATGGGTGGTTTGTCGGTGATATGTGAATAATATGCCAGACCATTGTCTACGACAAATGATGTAATATCTATGCTCATATTGTAACTTCACGATTTCTTTATGTTTGTAATTTTCACCCAGGTAACACATCATAGGTAAGAGTTTTGCCATCTTTGTATTAGTTCCACACTGTCTATCGACCTAACTGTGTGTACCAGAGCCTGATGGAACGTAGATAAGTATTTTCAATAACATGTGTTCGACGAGCGACGCCGTGTTCTTATTATTGTTTTCTAATTAGCATCATAATTAGAAAATCAAGTATCACACACTTTTGCAACGTCACATTTTAGACTCTGACTGGATCCCACGCTATATAAATGTGACTAAGTCTTCATCGAACATGACGTGTTCCCGTGTATGTGGGACGTATTTCTAGACAACACTCACTACTAGATAGTGTAAATAGTAACGAATATACAAGTTCACAGAAACATATTTTATTGTTACGCAAAACGTTCTAAACACAAAACTTAAAACAATTGAAACAGGTAATATGGTTCATGATGAACTATAAATTCTATCAACGGGCCGACATAAAGTATAGAACACAAAATAAATCGCAAATTTACAACGATTGTATCATGAATAAATTTAAAGGTTACAAAACAAACTTTGAATGCAATACCAAACATCGATCAAGATCAATTTTGCACTGTAAACAAGGGTTCTAACTCTATGATGAACGCAGATGTCAACAGTTCAAGTTTTTGCACGGGGTGACATACTCAAATTCCAACTGTTCTATTTCATATGATACTACTCAGTAGAGTAAGCTAGCCATAGGGTTGTGATTGGAATTTTAGCGAAACCCGGCAGGTTTTGAAATGGTGGATTGATGTAGCGTAAATAACATCTGGGTAAACTTGTGCAATACTAGTATATTGATGAAGTATTTGTATTGACGATGTTTACCATTGGATTTGAAAAAAGCTAGACAAATCGCTTAAATTCTGTAAAATGTTGGTACTTGACCCAGAACCTATCTCTATACGTCAAATATGTTTCACATTGTCGTCTATGAGAAATTCAATTGTGATATGAGACCTTAACAGTTGACACTAATCCAGGCTTGATGTTAAACTGTATTACTCATCCATGACAAAGGAATATGGTAATAAAGCGCGTCTGATTTAATAGCATTGCAGATTGTGTTGCTCCAACTTAAGAATACTAAGTATATGAAAAATAAACACGAGCAAAATAAGTGCTATTTACAACAGTGGTATTTTTATCAGCTATTTCGCAGTTTATTGTTGAACACGGTGAATTAATTAAACAAATGATGTAGATAAATGCAGGTATGTTTTAAGCAAATTTAAATCATTTGTTTTATATTGCAACTTGATAAAATGATGGTATGATCATAGTTAAACACTTTGTGTTTTATCAGGATGCAATATCTAAAAATAATAAAAACAACGTAAAAACAAATGTAGATATGTTCAACAGTAAAAATAAAACCAGTCTCGGATTGCAAATGTCAATTATACAAAATTTGTGTCAAAAATATATATACAAGAGTACGATAAGTTTATATATAAAATAAAATAAAAGGTCATGAGTGCCCGATCAAAATATTTAAATTTTATGCATTTAGCTCATTTATTATGCACCAATTATTGAAGGGTACGATGTATTTTAAAAAGTAAATCTTTGAACCTGTGCCACAATATATCCCGGGCCGTTTGTGTTTTTCTCTTTATTAAATATGTAATTATTTACTTCAATACTTAATAATTACATTCAGATCCCATGCAGTGCCCCTGTATCTACACTTATTCTGTATGTGTTGTTGTTGTTGTTGTTGTTATTACAGTCATAATAGTCGAGCACTGTTGTAAGTATATAAGACGTGTTCGTACACATTATAACAACATCACAAAATCATAGCATCCGAATTGCACTTTAAAACGGGTAGTCTTCATCCAGTCCCTTCCTGAACATAAGTCTTTCTATTTGTATGGCTGGACGCTCAACAAGCATGGCTAAAAAGAATCCGATAGCGAAGCTGACGCCGAGATAAGCCACAAACATGTACATCTGAAAGTGAATGAAAGCGAGTTATTTAAAGCCTACGCATGCGTCAGGTGGTCATAGCGTGTCATTATTTACAAACAAGCGTCTGCCCATGAGCCCTTCCGTTCTTAGCTTGTGTTGTTATCATCGCTTGGGACTCAATTCCCGCGCGTGCGCAGGTGACGACCCTCCCGCTTTAATCGTTCGGTATAAAGAAACTAACATAAACGAAACAATAACGAATCAATTCCTTTGCAGAATTGGTCTTAATTCCGTTGTTAGCAACAACTATGCACACACGCGTGTGTACGGACAAGGAGACAGAAAAACAAATGTTGAAAGAGCATTAAACTGAATGATAGTTTGTGTTTACATTTCACAATACTGTCACTGCATTCAATATGGGTGCTAATCAGTTTGTACTCATATTTTAAACAAATACTCGCCAAAATGTTGCTGTAACATTCAGTACATTTTTATCACTTCTATATACTATTTGTAAATTTTGGTTCCAATGGGCTTAATTTTCTGTCGGCTACTGGTTTCGATTTATGAACAAAATACACCAATTTATTTTGTGCAAAATTGTCTCTGGTGTCTAAAGTTTTTATAGCTCAAAATACACATATATATATGCATGTTTGTTTGTTGAATATTTACTCACCATATTCAAGTCCGACACGTACGGCTGTACGTGATTATTGAGTAATAAGAAAGCCATCCAGATGGGAAACACTAAATACGTACAGAATGACATCCGACTAAGTGAAACCCAAAAATTCCATGATAAGAACTTATTTGCCAAACCTGCAATCATAAATATAGGCGTGAGTGTCGTGCAAGGAAACTTCCAGCTGTGTGACGTTTGTTTAAAGTTTTACTTCAGTGACGCAATTGTGAAAGTAAAAACCGTTCATAGCGTCACTTGCGTTTCGATCTGTCCGTCCGTCAGTCAGTAAAAATGATATTTTTGAGAGTTTTTTTTTTATAAATGACGAACAATTTCACAAACAAACACAGTTCTCCCATTGGACGACATTGCTTTCACGGTATTTTGACGAGACTATTCATTCTATATTACTCGATACTTCATCCGATCCTTCCTTGTTTCTCTACTCACCTCCATGTTCGGTGGCGCAAGCAAATATAACCCACGCTATGGCTATGCCGAATGTAAATCGGCTCACTGTTAAATAAAACACCGTCAGTGCCTGCGACCACTCTGGCTCATGGTAACTACTGTAGGTGCAATACACAATAGCAAAACCAAAGAACGTTGATATGATCCAGCACGTTATACTGATAGGCTGAAAAAAAGATTAAAATTCAGTAACACATACTTTGATTACGCTGTCATAACTTATTTATAGCTGCAATATGAAAGACAATGTGTTAAATTTTAATATTTCAGGATGTTGGTGAGTATATAGGATTGTGGTTGGTCTTGAACTAAAAACATAGCTAGAACATATCTGATTATTTGCTCAATGGAACAATTACTTTCTCTAATAGGCAATTACGCTGATGGTTTTGATACGGACAACTAGTAAATATGCGTAATATTCGTCTTTTCAATTGGTTCAAATCAGCGCAGCATCATGAACATAGGCTTGATTATCGGGTTAACACAGTTGGGTTTTATTGATAACAGTGTTAATTTATTGGTAAGTCGACTGTGTGCATTAACCTAATGTAGACATGTTGCTCCAAATCGACGAAATGTTCACGTAAGCTTCTCGGTGTGTCGTAATTCGTTTGATTAGTTCAGCATCTTGCAACCGTGTACATTGCAGTGATAAAGAGCTCATAATATAGCAAGCAAGCAATACCCTAAATTCATAATTTAGGAAAGTGGGCGCCGATTATTGCCATATTTATATTTATGAAGTTAATTACGGTGAATGACCTTATATATCAGTTATTTATGCAAACTTTCTCGTTTGTTGCACACCCAAAGTTGAATTACATCTACACTACAATTGGCACCTGACTCCTGATACATATATTACATAAAATATTGAGATGGGGAAAAATTACTGCAGAATATGCACTCAATCCGGCTTTGTATGTTAAAGGACGGAGGATTTAATTTTGTCTTTGAATGCCAATTACTTTGCAGGTACATTCTCGAAATAAAAACTGTGGAAATGTCATTCATCCCACAAATGGCAACACACCTTATTGATTCTGAATTTCCCCTCTTCATGTTTAATCAAAACATACGCTAGAAACATCCCGAGTATGTACGTGGCAATTCTCGTATGTGGCTTGGCTACAATATAATCACCGAACGGGTTGTCATCGGCTTTGTCGTTGAATCGACTGTAACGATATGAATTCAAAAAAAAATCATCACTTTCAGATTTTTTTACATACAAAATAAGAGTAACGTGCAACGTTGTTGAAAATATCAAACGATCGATCATCATTATAAGCGCACTCACGATTGGCCTGGGCTAGCAGTTAGGCCGTAATACGTAGATATAAGGGCGGTACAAGTGAAATCCATAGCACACAATAATCCCATTACAACCAATCCGATAGATTCTCTCCTGTTATAAAAAAAAACATACACATTTGTAAATGACAGTGAATAACGTCACATTATTATTCAAAAAAAATGGATTAGGACACTGAGTGACACTATCTTTCCATCAATCGTTGTTCCCTTCGTCCTAAAATGTTTTCTCCCACTTTTTGTTGACAGAGCTGGAAATTGGTTTATTGGAAAGTATTATCATGCTGTTTTGTTTTCAAAAATAATAACTTACCACTTCAACACTAGAATGATGAGTGGACTAATAATATAAAATTGCATGACGCAGGCGATATACCAAGTCCAAGGCATGCACCTCGACCGAAGACTGTCGTTGTATGGGTACAGATTGTTGATGAATAACACGTTGGTCCACCAGTAAGAATAACACGGTTCAGCATAATCCTTAGCGATGTACTGCATAGGTCCGCCGCACATGTACGGCAATAGAAACATGTATTGCAGCAAAATGACTATGTACGCCGGCCAGAATCTGTCACAGAAATGTAAGATGCATTGAATAGTGGATGGTTGAACGGAACCAGCATTGTAGAATTGACATTGGTCACTTTATGAGATTGAAAGAACATACTTACCTCCAAACACGGTGAAAATAATATTTTAACCAATTTACGCGGCCATTTTCATCGATTTCCTTTAGCGCTAGGTATGTAATTAGAAACCCGCTGCCAATGAATATAAAACAAAGGTTAATATGACTAGAGGATTAGTACGTCTAACGTTAGGCTGGGTACACACTGAACACGTGTTTCATTGTCAAATGAATGTTCATATTGATTTACTATCATAGCAAATTCGCCAAGTTGACGGAATCATTTAGCTCAACCTACGGACAGACATCGTGATGGATAGGACAAGAGTAAATCGAGGTCATTGCTACTGTATTGGGGGATAACAACGCCATGTAAAATGCTTACCTGATAACAAAAAACGTGTCAGTGGCAAACGAGCCGTTACCTAACGCCTGGGAGAAGAGCCTCTCTGCAATCCACAACAGGTCTAATGGGTTTTCTATGAGAGGTCAAAGTGCAATATATTATTAATTATAATAATATATAGAAATACTATATTTGTGTGCTCTTTGTGTATGTTTTAGGCCAGGGTAATGAATACAAATGTTGGTAAACAAATAACACGTGAAATAAGGGTAAAAGGATGTTTCCATAATATAGTTAGCAGCGAAACATTGAATTGGTGAGCAATGCTATCCCTGCTTCAGGTCTAACGTATTGCTGCTATTGTCGGTTTGTAACTGCGGTTTTTTTCGAGGCACGCACAGACAATTCACTGAAAGAGTTTTGAGGTCAGTAAAGTTAGTTATTTGGCGGCCCATCCTATCGTGCAACGATACGTAATCCACTAAAAAAATGTCATTGTCTATTTGTCGCGTAAATGTTTATATCAATAGAGTTTGTTCAACCACTAATCTGTTACGTGCCCACACTAAATAGGTCGGTTCACTGTACATAGATAACAGAGGATCACCGCCAGCCGAACTGTTTATTATATATAATAAACAGCCTGACACAGCTTTAGTTAAGTGCTCACTACATGCATTCACCGCACTGCAACACAGAAAAACGCTTAAAAAAATACTGTATTAATTACAAGCACCTGTATCATATGCTGAAGTAAACGTATTTCAATCGAACACAAAAATGTGTCTATTTTTTAAATTACTTGAATTTACCACGTGTACCACGATCACCTAATAATAGGTCAGGTCGCTAAAATAATTTTGAAATGTTCACTTGGCAAATCAAAGGATACACATGAGCATTCAGCATTTCGCGGAAGTTTTTTTTTTTAGAAGATTCCATGTCCGTGAAAATCGAAATCGATAAATTTCGCGCTATATGCCGTAGACGTGGCAGAGTTTAATCCCGACTCTGTAAAAAACATTCCCACACAGAGCCGTACACAGTCACCACAAAGCGTTATGGGTCCCGTGTGACTTATACCGAAGCGTGTAAAATAAGTTGTTTGTTTACGCAAAATTCAATCACGTGCTCTACGACGAATGACAAATCAAAATTCGCTATTGACATGCCCAACTTACGTAATACTTCGTATGACGTTTCGTACGCCATTTGGTAGATGACCCACCATAACGTTAAGACCCGCATGCCATGTATAGCACTGATAGTCTTTTCACCTCCGTTGTACTCTGTGCTAAGCAACTTGGATCCATTGATAAAACCTGAAAACGCTCGGATCGGGTTCAACTTGCGAGCTACAAAGAGAACGATAATTAGTTAGAGAACCGACGTACGCGTAGGAGCACTGTCACACAGTGTACATAGTCATGAAATAAATACAGGGGCGGCCTAAAATTCAGTGGCGTGATCTATATAGAGACGTCGTTGGGTGGTTCCTAAAGCTGTTAAACACATCGAATAATTATAGTCAAGCAATAGATAGTGTAAGTTACTGTGGTTATTTTATGATACACCATTTTTGTATATTGAGACTAACAATCATTTTCTGGCGAGAAGAACCTTAGACATTGAAAAACAGGGACATGGAACTTTGGGCATTCCTTTCATGTAACCACAGTTATAATCCCTTAGGTAATTCACATCTTGGAGGGGTGACAACAAGTTTATGTCAACACCAATGATATTTTGCCCTGTTACATCAGTCAATATGACTGCAAGGATGTAACTACACAAAATAAGCCTACTTTGTGATAAGAATTGAATCTGTATAATTACATTCATTAAAACTGAATAGATAATTGCATTGATACAAGTTAAACTAAAAATTACAATGGTAAGAGTTTTACTTCTAATATGAAAACAGGAACGGGAAACAAAACTGCCCTGAAGAAAACAATGACCTGTCAAACATTGTATCGTCAGTACAAGTGGATTTCTGATAATATTTAGAACCAATATGGGATAGCGAATATTGACAAAGCATAACTTATCGAATATATATAAAACTAGGTAAAAAAGATAACAACTAAAACTGCTTATTTCAGTTATAGGCATCAATACCTGTACTGGCGTTATAACCCGCGTTGCACACAAGAAATTGAATTATCTTTGAAAAGATTTGCATGTGCTTGTTTCACTTCAACTAAATAAAATAAATCAACAAACAAAACACTGCTGACAATAGACGAACAGAAAACTAAATAAATACCCATTTTTTTAGTTTTTTCGACTTCTGTAGTTGTATATTCCTCTATTACGTTTACGTAGGTAAGATCGTCTGCAGCCTCTATCTTTTTTTCATGTATAACATCTGCTTTCTTGTTTTCGTCTTGCTTGTCGACTGATGTATCTGTTCCGACGTCCTTGACGGCATCCGACATCTCGATGTCATTCCCATAATTATGGAATGATAGCGACGGATCCATGGTTGATATTTGGTTAGGTCTTGGCATAAGCTTTTCGTAACGTCTCTTGACAAAGTAATCGACAATAGCCCCGATAATGCACAGTGCTATGATAACAAAAATAATGACCCTGTGGAGGGGAGCATATTGTTAATAAACAGAGATCATGCTAATATGTCTGTGTGTATGTTGACTATTCTAGTCTTGCGGTGTATACTACTTACAACGTTGTTATAGCACCTGCATCAAGCGGGTCGTCATAGTTACAGTACACCCAGTCCAAATTGAGACCATCGCTGAAGAGCAGGCCAATACCTATAACGATAATAGATTAAAATAATTAAATTTTTGATTATTTCATTACCTGTAGTTTTCACATTGCGGCTTATATAGATTGTTGGTTAATGCTATTATATGTGTGGTACACTACCTAGTTCCATCATGTTGCTTACATCTTGGTCACTACATACACTCGGCATACATACTCCAATTTGCAGTGGCAAATTCACTCCATCATCGTCATCCTGCAAAGTAAAGTTGATTTAATTTTTAATTTTTAAGTCACTGGTAATTACCATAATGATGAATCCGTCTTGGTAACTTTGCGGCGGCCATCTTTGATTTCGATAAAAGAGTACCGTGTTTTTGTGTTGGTGTAATTATATAAATAACGGAATAATGTTAACAGTGTTACTAGTGAAGATTATAATGGTGGTATTGTGCCAGTTACTGTGGGTATAAATTAAACAATAATATACATGACACATATAAAATGTTCAGAATTATACCCGAAACTCACTCCTGATTAAGTATGTATTTGACATTTAAATATCGGGATATGAACTCACACTTGCAATGGTCCATTTGGTTAGACAGTATTTTCCGTCGAAGGTGTCAACAGATGATAACCTACTGGCGTTCACATTCAATACCTCTCGGCATTCTAGAAACGATCCCAACCATCGGAGGTCTCCTTTGAGAAGTCCACTTGGCAATTTTCCCATGGCGTCGAACACTGTCGAAAACAAAATTATATAGTGCGTGTCAACCAAAATAAATCAGCACATGCGACTTGTGCAAAATTGTCCCCCGTTGAAGAAAAAGGGAATGGTAAAATATAATGCAGAAGAAAAGGCAATTTGCATACAATTGCATGTATTGCACTAATGTTTTTTTTAATTTTATTCTGGAAATAAATCAAAGGCAAATTTGAGTATGTTGTTTTTTATCATACAATCAAAGTCTGTGAAAGAATGAACGCCAACAAGAACCTGTTTTTAAAAAAAAAATACAATCGATATGAGAGAAAGGTTTTTTAAATATCACGGTCATAATTTTTGTTATTATGACCTTGGGTATTGTCGGGCAACTACCGACTACTTAGGCAATTTAAATTTTCATTGCATACAGCTGTTTACATTAGTATGACATGGTTCTATTTACCAATGGTCCAATTAAAAGGGTCACGTGGTATTAATAAGTAGTCTATTTTTACTTTAATTGCTGTAAACTACAGTTCAAGTTTTCAATCACGATATTATAGCACATCGCGTGATCGTAATAATATGTAACAGTTTTCGCGGCATATTTTTTTAACCAGGGTTACATTAAATTTTGAGACAGCGTCAAACATACGGCTACCTCTAAACACTGTATATGTTAATTTCATATGCTACTTATTGTCCAATCAGAGCCAGCCTCTATTTGTTTGAACTTCGATTGTTTAAAATTCAAAAACAAACTAAAAAAGTAAACTCTTGTGAGTACATGTATAGAATATTATCAAATGATATAATTATATTATAGTGTGAATATTCATAAATATACACAACACTCTTTCCAATTGGTCAACTTGTTTCAATCAGAAAACCATTCAGGGAGGTTGTTGCTCGTTAACGGAGAGTTTAAAGATCTTATCACGTGATTGCGTGCGTAAACAACCATGCTTAGCTTCAGAAGCTAATGTTTTCAAATCAAATCTGTGATAATTGAAGTGACACATTATGAATTTAACGCTTCAGTTTTGAGAGCTTTTCGTGTGTTTATTTTATGCAAATTAAAACTCCCATTCGCTTTGACTGTACAAATATATTATCGAGCAATATATCCCAGGTTTAATCATCCGGGAAATGTAGATACAATTATGCATTCGGATAAATGAGATCACTAAGAATAAACAAAAGAATTCACTTACTTTCAAACGCATAAAATTGTCGTGGTGTACATACAAGATCTAATAGAAATTTTATCTCTGTGAAGAAACAGTCGGCGGAGATGTTTGCAACTGTGTCCGGTATTTCTGGGAGCTCTATCGGTAAATCGAAAGGTAAGTCTTCGAAAGGGTTCATCTTTCCAGCTATACTTTCACTGAGTGGGAACGGTAGATCAAATGGACAGTCTCTGGGCAGCAGCATAGGCAGTAACCGGGGAAGTATTAGCGGTAATAGATTGGGCAATAGCAAGGGCAGTAAAGTGCTGAGCGGTATGCAAATAGGACCAATAGATATAAAACCAATTTTTACTATCACACATATATTTCGTGCTGGCAAATCGAGGCATATATCGGTTATTGGATCAGGGTATGGAAATTCTGTAGGTAAACATAGTAGATCGTCATCGTCTTCCGCCGTGTCAGTCTTCTTAGCATACGCAGTACCGTTGCTATTAATGTTATTCAAAAAATCGTCACTATTGGCCAGAGCTGTTGCAATGTTAGCTAGGTCCTGGTAATAGTATTGTATTACGACCTCGTTGTAATGGTCCAATATGGTCTGCATACTCTGGGCATTCGACTGCACGAAATAATCCAGTTCCAAATCCCGAATGTCCTCGTCTGAGATCCTTCGAGACAAACCAGCAGAGGTACAAAAAATCACAGCCCATACCAAAATCTGCAATTGTACTCGGATGTTCATCCTGTGAGACAGTATACTCTGATCGTCAGCACGCTATTGTTGACATTCAAAAAAAGCAGTGCCTCACCTGGCAGTGTATACAAGTTGCTAGTTGACAAGAGAGATGAGGATGTAAACAACCTGAGTTAGTTATACACACAGGACACATCAACAGTATAATGTACTCTCAGCAAATACTCGCAGAAATATGCATCAGGAACATTTACACATCTGTCTACATCAAATTAATACAATGTTTATGGTTCTCATCAACGGATCAAGTCTGTTGGTCTACACAACCAATGGCACGGACAACAACGATGTATGAGTAATGAGGAGGGGATAGGGTGATCATAAGTTAAATTTTATCATGCAAGAGATAAGCGATTGAAAAGACCATCATCGACATTAAATATTAACGACATGTGTCAGTCATGCCATTTTTATTTACACAGAAGGGGTTAGATTGTCACCGCGATTCGCCTGAGAACAGATCTCAGGGAAATTGCCAAAACCCAAGGGTAAATTTATTTTCTTGCCCACTTTTTCAAACTCTGTTGACGAACATCAGCCTCTGCCTTTCATCAAATACGCAGCAGTGATGAGTCCATCAGATATTAAGGTGCAATAAAGATAAACCAGTTAAAAGTGGATCAAGGACGGTCAAATGAACAGTCGAATGGCCGGGTGAACGAACTATCACAGACTGCACTGTCTGTTCATACGTTTGTTCATACAGTGATAATTCCACTACTTTCACCAGGTTGTACTTAATGACATCGTTTTTGTGAATCATATTTTTTGTTCTCATTCCTTTCCCAAAGAAAGTGTCGACATGAAGTTCTACCCTGGCATTAAATGTTTTCAATTTTACTTCTCCTATTTCAATTAAGCTAATGTTATAAATGTTGCTAAGGTGTTTTAGGAAATCATAGCAAGGTATGCAATGTGTACGCCATTATACATTTTTTAGCTACGGGGAGCAATAGTTGTAAATTATCGTTGTTATGTGTGAGAGATCTGCTACCCGCTCCAGCGTCGATTCACTCCTATGGGGCATCTCCATTATTTATTAACCAGGTCCGACATGCCTTGGCCAACATGTATAGTATTTGGTACAATTGATTTGTATTTTAAGTTAATAACCGTCTGGCATTGACCATTTAGAACATCCACTCATTCCCGGGACTGTGTAAATAACCATGCTGTGCGGGTAAGCCTCATACTAAGAACATACATTTAGTATTTCGTCTCGATATGTCTACTATATTCTCGATGATCTGTACATATAATTATGCATTATGACGCCATATTTACTCTATAGACTGGGGTACTAGTATAAACCATAGACCCTCTAACAGATGGTCTATGTATAAACTGAATCATCGAACTAATAATAATGCTCAATGTATTTCACGTGTAAGGCGACACCTTCCTTCCCGCCAACGCGTTTCCTTCCCCTATTTCAGGCGTGCTTCTCTTAATAATCAGAAAAAACAACAAAAGAATACAGTTCGAGTTAATTCTCATCAAGACCACTGTAAAGACAGACTATCACCGGCTATTGTTTTATGTGGTGCGTGCCACGGCAAACCTTGCTGGTACTGTAAAGGGGTTAATTATTACTTGGGTTTTAATTTTTTTTTCGCTGATTGGAAAATGCGCTAAATTAAAACCCAGCGAATATGTAAAATTTAGCATAGAACACATTATCTAAATGATCAAACCGTGAATTTAAAACCCACTGAATATGCCTGAAATGGTAAATCAGCGAAATTTAAACCCAGTGAAAATTAGTCATTTTACAGTAGTTTATTAACATAAGCCTCCCGAAGGTTAGTGGTATGAGCTTCTCATTGGCAAGAATCGTACATCACACTATAACTTGAACTCGACGTTGTGGCAATAGTTAACTATATGACATATGAACTCAGTATTGACCTGTATGTGTGTTCAGATGAGCTTTACACTCTGCCTGAATAACAATTTAATCAGTTCTGATGTTAGCATTGCAAAAACTGATGATGTTGCTATTATTCACAGATACATTAACTTTTTTTGAATCTTTCGCTGAATGTTTACACGCGCTGCTAGGATTATAGTAAGGGTCGCGAACATTTACGATCCTGTTTTTCTTATAACGTACCAAGTCAAAAAGGTGCACGGCATATTGCTATCATCCACACGCATCAAAGTAACCAAGAAAAAAACTGTATGTGAATGATGGGTGATTGAAATATGCTCATACCCGACAACTGGATCCAGCGGTATTTGTTAAATATTAGCTTAGGGTAGTTATTTATAGCGCCACCACATTCTTGATATGAGTTTACAATTATTTCACAGTACTTATTCACCTTCATCGTGTAGCGAATTTCATGTATATTAAACACCCTGTAGACGTCGCATGCTTTAATTACGCAACACTATTTGTGTGATCTGTCTAACTATAATCATTGCATAGTACTAAATACATTAACATGAGTCATCAAAGATTTGTAATTAAATTGGACTGAAGATTTTAAAAAGAGTTTAATCTTAGTCAGAATATGTGTTACACTCACCCATTCCTCTAGATAATGTTTGCGTGATAGTGTAAAGTGTCGAAGTTCAGGTAATCACTAAGCTACTGTTGAAGAAGATAATAATTCCTATTGGGTTATTAGAGGACGGATGACCAAGTATAGGATTTAATTTGACAATGGGTGACTTTTAGCTTAAGGGGCCGTATACCATGATGCTGTGTCCCGCGCCTAGTGTCTTGATTCGATGAATGATTGGATGAAGGATGGATGTGGGCGACTTCTTGCCAAAACCACTGAACCATTGGCTTGATTTTTGATGTATAGCTTCCTGGATGGGTGTAGATACAAATTTGTTCACGAGAAGTCAATGGCTTTCATACTTTGATATGTTGGTACCTTGGGTACACCTATGTCAGATTTGTTCATTTCGTAACGATATCTTCAATTCTCTTGTTTTAGCGAATATTTTTGGTATAAAATGCAGTTTTCTTGAAAACTGGTATAGTTAATGCTATTGCCATAACAACAAACACACAAACCACCATGGCTCTCATTTAAAACTTTGTGATAACAATAAACATGGAAACTCACTGATATATCACCAGATATAACATGAAATTGTGGAAAACACTCCACAAAACAGTGGAGCTAGCTGTTTTAGTAAAGAGTAAATCATTAAAGCTCTAATGGGTAAAACTACTTGGCAAATTATTCTTCGTTTCACCTAGTTTTGAGTGTGCGTTTATACGTGGCACTTAACTACATATATCGCAAGAACCGCTAAACTAATGAATAGAAATCCACAAAATCTAATTCCGGAAATCTATTAGCTGAATTATTGTGGTTAGTTTGGTCATCTAGTCTTTTATTTGTTTGTTCTTACCTGAGGTGAGTGCAGTAACATATGACAAGATGTGGATTTGATTGCTATATGCGAGGCACACAGTGAGAGTTCATCTGTGTAAGTATCTGTAATTATAGATGTATTTATATGTGTGTATCTTACATCAATATTTCACGAACCAATCATTAGATTTCAATGATGCTTTTTGATGTAACTACACTACCCTACTCCCAAATGAAATGCCATTCCGTTTCGGCGCAATGTTGGTGAGCAGATCTCACTCCCAGGCAAAATGTCATGCCTCCGCTTCTGAAACATGGCTGCCACCAGGCGTTCACCTGACTCCACACAAAGAAGTTCGCTGATTCTGTTCTAAACATTTTGAATTTCGACATTCTCAGGGTGTATCCTTGCAAGAAAAAGATGAATAATAATAAGGTTATTACAAGGATAACTCAAAGTTTGCACCCAGATAATACGATACTCCCGCTGTACTGTCTTCGTACATACATTGAGGTTTCCTTGTAATAACTTCATATTATTTCGATGTTAATATGGCGTAATAACAGCGTGATAGAATAGTAGTTATGGTGTTAGGCCAAGCGTCAGAGTGAAACGGGTTTCGGTGTCAAGAAAGCAAAAGTGATTTCTCCCTGTCGCACCAAAGATTATTTAGTTTTAATAAATCCAGTTAGATTTGTTTTCATTGCATCTATAACGACACTTTGCACATAAAATTACGTTTTTTATTTCTATCCCTGCTTTGTCTGATGATCTCAGCAGTTTGTACGTACTGTACCCAAGTGTGAGATATCAACAGTGTGAATAATCGATTGATATATATAGTCATCATGGTTTAAAATCACTGATATTTTGACATAGAATGGAAAATATAATTATAAATTTATTTATACATATCTGCTCACGTGAAAGATTCTATCTACCTGACTCTTCTAAAAAAAATAATTGAATTTCCCCATGTTTGCGCAAAATTACATATGTCCCACAACTTTAACATAACAATGGCCTAACCTTTAGCTTGTATGCACATAAAATACATCTTGTACATGGAATCGTCCGGGAACTGAAACATGTTACATAAAATTATCCGAAATTTCAAAATTTCTTGGGTCATTTCGTGAAATACGATATTACGACAGATAATTAATTATAACTATCTGTGTGTCAAGTAAAACACGTGAGCCTATGTCACAGACGGTGCCCTATCCATCGACGTGTTCTGATAAACATCTAAAAACTTCAAAAAAGGCCATATTTATCGCTGACAACAAACGTACCGCCATGATAACATCACGTGTCAGTGGTCTGTAGATAATCGTTATCAGAGGTATATGAATGATGCCCGTACAAGGGCCACATCATTACAATGACGTATGCGTTATGGAGATTGTGTTTGGGTAACAAGACCAAAGCTGTCCTGTCGGCACCATTCTAAATCTGCCCTTGGGTACGGGGTTTCCCCCTTGCTTCGAAGGTAGGAACCAGAAGATACTCGTAGATAGCGTATTTTATCGCAGGGAAACATTCACATCTATACCATGAGTGGGATTTGACACATACTTTAATCTAACATAAAAACGCTTCCAACATGACGGGCATCCCGACATAGCGCCATCTCAGTTTAATGATTAATCATTAAACCTCAGTAGCCACGATATGTATAAATACATTTGTGACGTAAATGGCTGGAAGATTTCCACCCCACATCGTCAATATATTTTGTAAACTGTCGCACGTCAATAAAAAACGGATATTTTCCGACTTTTTGTCACTAGAGGGCTCAATTTGCACTGGTAAGCCGTTGATACAATCACGAAATATCATGTTTAAAGTTTCCGTGTCATTAGCAATACAATGTAAATAGACTCTGTACCATATACAGATCATGATCAGTTAACCCTTCGACTAATCATTCTCATTTGGTAGTTGTAAATACTATATGATCGTACTGATCAAAGGAAGGTGCATCGCACTGAGAATATTATTCTAGAGAAATCTTACTAAAGAAAACTAAGAGGGACCGGATGGTGCTCGTCAAGACTGTATGCGTTTGATATAGTTTTATACTACACATACTAACGCATGTGCGTAGTATATTTACACAAATCGCACGCACCACACGAACTAAAACTTTTCAAATAAGCTGTTTAGTTATCGATATTTAGTAACATTGGTATTTCGATCCCCATTTCAGCATAGAAAAATGTAAATTTTATTCATCCATGGCTACCTCTTAGTCATTATTACTTACATGTAACATTTGCGCATGTGCTTCAAGAAAAATATTAGGATCATGTTACAATATTACCCATGTGGTGGCGCTGTTAAATTGTCGACGGACACAATACTACAGTGGATTGATTTTCTTGACGTTCATGCATTGCTGGATGATCGAGTAATTAAGTTCGTATTATCAATCAGAGATTTCACTGAGGGCGTGAATCGCCTTTTTTAACGTCATTATTCTCGTTTTATTTTATTCAGTACGATTTTCTCCAGCCTCATCATAGGTGCCTCCGCCATTATTGAAAACACAAATGCCAGAGAATAGGACAGCGCCATGGAAGCGATGAAAGAGTATGTCTGTAAATAATATATAATAAAATAAAATAAAAAAAAAAAAATAAAAAAAAAAATAAATAAATAAAATAAAATAAAA